TGGGGCCGCCGGGCTGGTTCGCCGGGCTTTTCGCGGAGGGGCAGGCAGGACAAACCCGGCTTTTCTGCTGGGTCAGGGTGCCGGACTTACGGTTCGTAAAAGCTCCGTAAAAGGGACACATCCCCCCCGCCCCCCGACAGAGAGAGAGACACACACAGACAGACAGACAGACAAACAGACACCGAACCGAGTCACACACAGGCGGCGAGCAAGGAGCACACACGCAGCGCCGACTTTTTACAAGAAGGTGGAAGTAGCAAGTCGAAGTAAAGCCTTAGAAATTAGAGGGAGGGTTGTGATAGGTTGTTATCTGCGCTGGGAGGCGTTTACACTTTTTTACTATTGGGTATGTAAATTGTTTTTAATAAGATCTGCCCTTTTTTTTTTTTTTTTTTTTTTTAAGGGAGAAAACAAACCAGACTCCCTTTACCTTAATAGTCTGAGGGGGGGTTTATAGCTTTCATTCATTCAAGGAAATGGTTTAGGCTTTAGACTACCGGAGACTTAGCAAAAAAAACCCTTTGGCACCTGATTATTCTTACTATTTTTTTTTTTTTGCAAACAAGATTTTTCATGCATTTTTTTTTTTTTTTTTAATTCAAACAAGCCCAAAAGTGTGAATGGAAAAAACCCGGAGAGAAGCGGAGATCGGAGACCGTCTCCCGCTCCCCCCCTTCCCCGTCCCCGTCCCCCTCCCCGTGGGTGAGAGCGACTTAAAGCGAAGTTTCTCCTCCTGTGGGGGATGCACATTGTTTTATTTATTTTGAAGGCTGCAGAAGTCTGAGGCTGAAGCACCACGTGCTGCTGACTCTCATCAGCATAATGATCGCCTTAGCCAGAGAGTCCTGTATATATAAACCACAAAAACCTAATCATTAGAAATCCCAGCCTCCAAAAACCACATTCAGGACAAAAAAACTGTGGCTTTTTTTTTTTTTTTTCGGCTCCTTCATTTTGCTTCATCTCACGACCTCCGCACCTTGGGACGCAAAAGAAGTTTGTTGGGTTTTGTTGCTTTTTTTTTTTTAAACCCGATTTTTCAGAACGAAAAATAACTCAAACAAACCGACATTTTAATGATTTTTTTGCTGCCGTTGTTCATCAAGGGCGGAAAAAAAAGATTTTTGTTAGCCTATTCAACTCAACGGACTTGGATCCAGCAGCGACTTAATTAATAGGACCGGACTGCACCGAGGCTGCCTTTTCCCAGAATTTACTTGGTCATATAAACCCGATTTTTCAGAACGAAAAATAACTCAAACAAACCGACATTTTAATGATTTTTTTGCTGCCGTTGTTCATCAAGGGCGGAAAAAAAAGATTTTTGTTAGCCTATTCAACTCAACGGACTTGGATCCAGCAGCGACTTAATTAATAGGACCGGACTGCACCGAGGCTGCCTTTTCCCAGAATTTACTTGGTCATATTTTAGAAATCAGCCTAAGGAGGGGTGTTTTGGGGTGGTGTTCCCCCCCCCCCCCAACTATGCTCCCCGCTTTTTTTTCCCCGGGAATCCGAAAGTTCAACTTTTCTTAAGTCCTGATCCTCCCAAACGAACCGGCTAAAGCCTCTCTTTTAATTATTAGTCGTGTGACTTTCCTCCTCACCCCAACAACCCCAGTAACTTTCTTTCCACGCCGAAATCGCTTCGGGAGCGCCTGTTTTTTGGTTTTGTTGGTGTTTTTTTTTTTGGAGGAGCCACTTTTCCCAAGCCCCTTCCCGAGCTCCCGCTTCCCTCCGCTTCCTGAAGCCAAAGGCAATAAGCGGGGGAGCCCAGCGGCTCCCCGCCTCTGTCCCAGCGAGACTTTTTGTTTAAAAAAAACTTTTTTTTTTTTTGTCCGGAGGAGGAAGATTTCTGCGGAGGAAATCGGGACATTCCCCTGGACACCCCCTCTCCGGGTTTGAGAGTTACGCTCCTCTTCTGGCGGCCGCCAACAGCAGCAGCCCAGGAAGCTGAACCAGCAGCGAGTTTTACTTCTCCCAAGACAACCTTTTGAAAATCCGAAAAGGAAAAGAGGACGGGGAGGGAGGGGAAGAAAAAGGAAAGAAATTCAAGCACTTGAGGGAAGAAGCGGTGGCTAGAAGGAGGGAAAAGAGCAAAGAGACTGTGCAAGAAGGAAGGAAGGAAGGAAGGAGGAGGAGAAGCGGCAGCAGCAGCAGCGTTTTGCAGCTGGGCAGAAGCCGGG